TTTTAAACTACCTAGCAAAAGAAATAAATCAAAAGAGCAGCAATCAAAAACCACACAGCACCTTAGCTAAGATGTTATCAATACAGATATGATCAAAGTTATAGGACTGCACTCCACATTGAATTCTGCCCAAAATAGATACCAACTGTACCACTGATATACACATTCTTGCACAGTTTCACTGTAAAGTACATACCAGTTAAGAGAGAGACAAAAAAACCCTATGATGGAGGTAGGGTTACCCTGCCCTAGTTTTTATCATGAACTAGGATTCACTATTTTCAATCAAGTGGTTTCATGCAATTCTACATTTGGGTGAGTGTTCTGTCCTAGTTTGGAACAGTCACTGTGGCTTTTCTTTATGCAACTAGGCCAAATGGTAAAAAAGGATGCCTCGGCAAGACTTACTTAATATACCTCTCACACCTAACACCGAGAAGTGACAGGAGGATAAAACGGTACAGCGGTAGTCCATATCCAAGGGCTGTGTTCCCAACATGACAGAGCCCACGACCGGTCAGCTTTTTGGCAAGCTTTTAGGCAACCCTCCGGCAAACTGTCCAGGATAACAGATGGCAAACACAGTGACTTAAGTTCACCAATGAAAATGCAAATGCAAAGAACATATAAGTGTAGATAAAATTTCACATCATGAAGTCCAAGTCAAGTTCTCTACATTTCCCCAACAGAGTCACCAGAAACTCTGGCTTGCTTTTCGTGCTCCTTTCGGATATGATTAGCCCCACAGGTCGGACTCTCGTGGTTCTAAATCTGATTCCACAAATGCAATGTGAAATAGATAAACACAAATGAGTCTGAATCCGACAATTCTTTTAGAATATCGATTTTGAATCAAAATGTCAAAAATAGACTACTTTGCCAGATACAGAGTCGCCACCTAAATATTTTTAAGAAATTTAGGAAACCCGGGACTCGTGCCAAAGGCCACTTATTCGTCATCACCAAAATGTCTCAGTTCGGGAACTTAGGTACGAGAGGAGAAGGTCATAAATTGAGCACCCCACTCGCCCGATCAAAGATCGGCCTCTACTAATCATGATGCGATTTTTATTTACAATAGATGCTCTTGTTCTGATTATTATGCTAACCTTACTATGTGATGCACATAAGTACAGACTAATTTATAAAAATTGGAACACTTTGATACCATGTTTGTTTTAAATATGTACCAATTGAAAAAGTGTGCTCATATGTACATTTGATCAAATCATCCCAATTCAATTAGCCTTCATCCACAGGCATTCAAGCAAGATATCAATTAAACACTTAGCCTCATTGTACCATGCTTTGTCATGGCAACAATCACACGCATGCGATATGCTAAAACAAATAAAAGCTCACTTAGTACTCCAAAGCGAGCCAAAACAAAAAAATTAGAAACATGCATGCTCTAACTATAATGACTAATGCAACACATATGAAGATGTAATTTATAGGCTCAACTACAAATGTAGCATGTGAATCAATAGCATGCGGCTTAAGCACGTTTCAAAGAAGTATTTAAACGACAATGTTTGCTAGCATGATGAACCGAGCCTAATGCATGCAAGACAAATGAATGCTTTATACATGGAAATGCTAAACAAAATATGATGTGTTACACTATCCATCATAAGCGGGTAAATAAAATGGAGAAAGACGTGGGGGTAAAAGACATACACATTATTACAAGCTTGCCCTCGCACAAGAGGATCCGAATGAATGTCTTAGCTAAGTTAGCTAATTAATTGCAACACCGAATTTAACTAACTACCCTAGCTAATTAAATAATTACAACACACTCTAACTAATTAATACAAATTAACTAATTAAACTATTACGGAATTAATTAACTAAGTAATTAATTACAAGTTCACTACTTTAAGCACAACATACTACTAAAAACAAATAAAACGGATCCCAAGCCAAAATGCTAGGGATGGATCATGCATGAACACGGATTTTCACCCTAAAATGCCTTCATTTGGCTGCTAAAATGCTTCTGTTTTGCAGTCAGAGAATTGCACTGTTTTTTTCATCTCTGTTTTTGCTCTGTTCTGTAGGAAAAAAGAAACTACCTAGCCGAAAAAAAGTGACCGGCAGGCCAGAAGTGGTGGCCGACCGCCCCCTAATAGTGGCCTATCGCTCAGTAAAGGTGGTCTACCGGCTACTAATGTTGGGTTTCTCCTGCTGCAACAGAAAACAAACAAAGCACAAACAGAGTATGCTAAGGAGATGTCTATCCACCCTGCCTCTCCTTATCATTAAATAGCTTAAATGAGGGGTAGACTCGATTCGCAGGCCATCAATCGATGCAAATTCATTGCAAGATGGCCTATGAATCAAGGGATACAATTTCAATAAATGCACAATGAAAGACTCATGAACCTCCTCCCTATCATGATATTGATCAAGGGAAGTGGTTGACATCGACTCTTTAACATCACTAACAAGTATGAACAACTCAAGACTCAATGGGTTCAATTAATGTCTGATTGAATCCAAACCATTTTATTATCTTGTTCCATTTTAGTCCAAGTTTTATTGCCTCTTTTAATTACCTTTCCCTTCATTAATCATTTTAGTCCAAGAATGAGCATTAAGTCCACTAATGGAGAGCAGTGTCAAACCAAGGGTTGTTTTGGACATGAGAGAGATGTCATGCCGTTGGTAATGAATCTCAGAAGAGATTAAACCATAAAGCACAACAATCTCTATCTTAAGCTTAAACAAACAGTTGATTTGAAACAACTCTCAAATAAGGTAAAAAGTCAAGAAAGGATGGAGGTTGCAAAAGTGATTAGAGGTGAACATAAGTATGAAAAACACAAAATAAATGCTATCAACTCAAATAGGTTGGTATCTAATGCCTAAAACACCAAACCTATGAGGACTTTACACTACAAGCATGCTATACAAAGCACAGATGAAAATAACACATAAAAACAGTTCTATATTAGCTGAAAACAGTGCTAGAATTAAAGTAAAGATAGCTAGAAGAGTAAGCTAAAATAATGGAGCAATCAAGCTAGTAAACAAGCCAAAGAAGAGATGGCTAACCCCTCCATTTTGGGACATTGAAACCACTTTTTTAGCCTTTGAAAACCTCTGAAGATCAGTGATAAACGGCTCAAAAAAAGTTAATGACAAGGTGGAAAACACAAAGGTAAAGGCCTAAAAAGCAATGGTCAAAGAGGGGTGGTCCACTCCTCTACCCTTAATGGCCTTAAACCACAAGTTTCAACCCATAAATATAGGTACAAAAAAAACAATAAATGATGGTAAATGAATTAGGAAAAGAAGCTTGGAGTTATACCTCTTGAAGAGGGATGACCATTTGAATCACAAACCACTAATTTCACACCCTTGAGAGCTTAAAATACAAGCTCAAACACCTCAGCAAAGAATTGTCAAGGTTTGGTTTGGAGTGTGTAGGCAAAGGGTATAAAAGTTGCAAGAGAGAGAGAGAGAGAGAAATGTAGAGAGATAAATATTTTCAAAAACTTTTGCTTCTCCAATTTTTCTAACCCTAATTTTTGAGAGAGAGTCTTCTATATATAAAAATATATTAGACCATCTCGGAAATATCCATACAGACACAACTAGTACAGTGCATGCATCTGTATAGACAACTAGCACAGCTGGCAAAACGATCTTAAATTTTACACAAGTGGGTGACCGCCCACTATTGGAAGGCCACTAGGATGGTAAGGCCTAAAAAACTACTGTTTTGGTCCAAAAACAAGGCACAAGACTTGTAGGTTTTTGAGGATCAAAACTGAGGTTTCCTGCTAGCTGAGGAATTTGAGCATTTGAACAAGCATGTACATTCATCATTGGGTGATCAATCGGGGCACCCAAGTCTTAAGGGCGATAAAAAATGGGGTGTCTACAGGATTATCAGTAGCTCTACTTGTTCCTTATGTATGTTTTGCTAAACTGAGGAAGAAACTAATGACAATGTGTCCTTGTTTTGTCTTGTTATTTGGAAAGTTCGGTCACATACGGTGAAATGGTAGGGATTGCAGTGGGTTTTACCAGGATCAGTTGAAGGTCTGTTACAATGGTGGATTGTTATTAGAGTTAAAAAGTTGGAAAGATTGATTTGGAGAGCCATCCTTATTGTTGTTCTTTGGTCTTCATGGAAACACATGAATGATTGTGTATTTAATGGTTGTCAGCCAAATTGGGAGGAGTTATGTGGTTTGATAAAATTGAGAATTGCTTTGTGGTTAAAAGCTTCGTCCATTGATCTACAAATCAGATTTGGTTCAGGGGTAGATGTTTGTTTAGTTAATCAGATTTGTGTTGCTATTTTATCTGCTTCTGCTCGTGTCCTGCCTGAATTGATATCAAATCACTACAACAAAAACCACAGTTTGGCGACCCAAAAATTGGTCGCCAAAAGTACAAATTTCGTCGCCAAAAGAATCGGCGACAAATATACAATTTGTCGCCAAAGGCCTGTCACTAAAAGTATTGGCGACGAAATCAGAAATTGTCACCGTATGTAGACATTTAGCGACAAGCAAAATTGCTAGCCAAAAATCATATATTTTGTCGCTATAAAATTACAATTTGTCGCTAAAAGGTTAAAATTTGGATAAGCTATGTAGTTTTAGCGACAAATAAATGCATTGCTAAAAGTACTATTTAACGACAAAATTAATTTGGTCGCTAAAAATCACGTTTTTAGCGACGAGTAAGTTTTGGTTGCTAAAAGTTCTTGGAATAACCACTAACTTTTAGCGACAAAAACAATATGTTGTCACCAAATATATTAACAGCGACCAAAATACCACCTGTCACTAAAAATTCAATACACAAATTTTGATTTTAATAATTTTTCTATTGAAAATAATCCAAAACACCTGTTTTCCTGTGCACAATATATACACAAATGTAATGTAAATAATAATACACATGTGCAAGACATTCATACTAATTCAAAATTAATAGCTATGAAAAATCCTTATAAACATAATTACAATTCTCTGACAATCTAAAACATACATTCCAAAGTACTTACAAACTACTAACATCAAACCCATAAATACATTACCAAATCCTATGTCAAAATATTTTCAAAAATACAAAACCAAATATTTTGATGCTAAACATTTAATCCATCAATCATTTACCAAAATCTTATGTCAAAATATTTCAAAAAACACAAAAATCAAATCTTCTGATGCAGCACGAACTTTTTTCCACCATTGCCAATCTGTCACATGAAAAAAGAAAAAATAATATTAGATTGACAAAAGAAAAAAATATCTCGATATGAATTTCACAATTTTGATTTTAATTTTGTAACGGGAAGTCCAATCGGGTGCTGTTTGCTCATACAAGTTTGCTCATACAAGTTTATTTAGGCTTGAACAAGTTGCCCGTGCCAAGTTTCGGTGGTTTCAGTGGTCATTTTGCAATTTCGGCCCCCGAACGGGCTTTTTAAGTCTTGTGTTTTACATTTTTTCTTGTAATTTTCTAACCGGAAATCCAATCGACATCTCGTTTGTTCCTACAAGTCTATTTAGGTTTGAATAAGCTGGTCATGCCAAGTTTTGGTGGTTTCGGTGGTCATTTCACAATTTCGGCCCCTGAACAGGCCTTTTAAGTCTTGTGTTTTACAATTTTCCTTCTAATTTTCTAACCGGAGATCCAATAGAGGTCTCGTTTGTTCCTACAAGTCTATTTAGGCTTGAAAAGGCTGTCCGTGCCAAGTTCGGTGGTTTCGGTGGTCATTTCAAAATTTCGGTCCCCGAACGAGCCTTTTAAGTCTTGTGTTTTACATTTTTCCTTCTAATTTTTTAACGGAAATCCAATCGAGGTCCCGTTTGTTCCGACAAGTTTATTTAGGCTTGAACAAGCTGTCTGTGCCAAGTTTCGGTGGTTTCGGTGGTCATTTCGCAATTTCGGCCCCCGAACAGGCCTTTTAAGTCTTGTGTTTTACAATTTTCCTTCTGATTTTCTAACTGGAGATCCAATCGAGGTCCTGTTTGTTCCTACAAGTCTATTTAGGCTTGAATAAGCTATCCGTGCCAAGTTTCGGTGGTTTCAGTGGTCATTTCGCACTTTCGGCCCCCGAACAGGAAAAATTTTGACAGTCCAAGGCCATACAAAGAGAACTCAATCAACAAAGTAATTTATAGATAATGGCATTATTAGAGTGCAAATGCCAAAATGCTTTGTATACACAACGCCACGATATCACCACATAATCTACATGAAAGCATATTGAAAAGTATCCTAATCCCCCAACAAGAAGTCAAGAACATAACTAGGCAATGATAGATCAATAAAAACAAGTTCCGTCAGTTAGCTTACTTGTTCAACTATGCATAAAAGTATAAACACTCACTGGATCCTAATTTCCCAACAAGAACACAATTAGACATTGATGGATCAATCAATATACATAACTTCAGTTAACATACTTGTTTAATTATGCATATCAATTTTGAGTCCCGTCTTTTCCTACAAGTCATTTATGCCTAGTTAGTCGTATTTGTTAAGTTTTGTTGACATCCAATGCCATTTGAACAATTTAGAATGTCAACTGATTTGGAATTTTTTTTTTCTAAAGGACAAGTTTTCACAAATAGAAATTAGGCTTTAGATTCAAAATTGGGAATCAATTTTGAGTCCTGCCATTTCCTACAAGTCATTTGTGCCTAGTCAGTCGTGTGTGTCAAGTTTCGTTGACATTCGATGTTGTTTAACCATTTTAGGGTGCCAACCGGTTCAGAAAACAGAAGTTAAAAGTACTTCAGCTATTTTAATAACTTCTTCTAGGGTGATCATTACCTGCTTTAGTAGTGCATCTTCAAGTGCAACAGCATCACACTTGAAACAAGAATTAAATTAACTTGTACAGGATCAACCACCAAAAGGAAGGTATCAAACCATGAAAATGTCAATGATCTAGTCTCATGTTAGAAGTTCTGCTATCATTTGAAGATGAAATTTTGATTTGTCATCTTTCAGAATAGATGGATCAATTTCTATTCCTTTGGCAAATTCAATGTTACCTAGATGAAGAATTGCAGCCACAACTTTGAAAATTGCATCCTGAGATAAACAAAGAAGTTATTCCCAATTTTATTCTATTGAGCTAAAATGGATGCAGCAGAAATATTTTTGGATTCAAGGCAATACATGTTCTTGCTGACTGACTCCAACAATATCCCTGGCTCTCCTAGTGGCGAGATAATCATGAGCATCACTTACACCAATAAGTTCATAGCAATTTGATTTGATTCAAATAGCGAAACATTTTAGGACTTCCTAACTTAAATTTCTTAAGTTCCTGATGAGATCCTCCTGATAAGATTTGGAAACTATTAAAATGATGTATTGACTATAAATTTAAGAGACCTTCATCAAGGAATCTGAAATATGAAAGAACATCAGGCAAAAAACCTACCTCTAGTGGTATTGCACAAAGAAGGTAAAAGCAATGATAGTTGTGTTCTGTGTTTGAAATTTGGCAAACACGAGATCTCTCAAGAAGGTAAGTTCTAATGGTTGCTCCTGAAATTTTTCCATGCTTATCAAATTGAAGCTCAACAAATTTACCAAAGCGGCTGTACCAATAATTAAAATCAAGTTAGCATCATTAAGAACAACATTTTGAAAAATGCACCATTTTTCTATGTATGTGAAAGAGTGCAGGTTCATAGAATGACTAAGAGATTTCACCTAGAATTGTTATTTCAAACAGTTTTTGCATTGCCAAATGCTTCAAGAACTGGATTTGACTGCATTTGATAGACGAGTATATCAATTACAAATCCACAAAAGATATCCATAAAGAAACCATAAATTTTCTGCAAATCACATCATGCATATGAATATTAAGAAGTTAAAGACGATTTCAGAAACACAAAATCTCAAGTTGGCAGGTTTGCATCCCGCATCATCTGCTTTCAGAATTATTTCCAGAAAGAAATCCTTGTACATTAAAAGATTCCACACAATGCATGTCTGATGTTGAGGAAACAAACTAATTCCATCCAACATCCTCCACCTAATAAGCAAGATTATGAATTACTGACTAAGAGATTTCACCTAGAATTGTTATTTCGAACAGTTTTTGCATTGCCAAATGCTTCAAGAACTAGATTTGACTGCATTTGATAGACGAGTATATCAATTACAAATCCACAAAAGATATCCATAAAGAAACCATAAATTTTCTGTAAATCACATCATGCATATGAATATTAAGAAGTTAAAGACGATTTCAGAAACACAAAATCTCAAGTTGGCAGGTTTGCATCCTGCATCATCTGCTTTCAGAATTATTTCCAGAAAGAAATCCGAGTACATTAAAAGATTCCACGCAATGCATGTCTGATGTTGAGGAAACAAACTAATTCCATCCAACATCCTCCACCTAATAAGCAAGATTCTGAATTTGCCAATTCTCTCCTTATGTATTACCCCTTTCATACTATGAGGAAATTTCTATTAAGAAGAATAGCAGATAGAGGATTGCAAAAAGTAAAGGAAATGCATCATGAAAGTTCATTAGTCGTTGGCTTTGTGGGGTACAGAATTTCCAATGTCATATTTTCTTGAAAAGGGCCTCTCAAAGCCACATAACAGTCCAGACTGAAATGTGACAAATTCCTCATATAATCTAAGCGAGGGCAATGTGAAGACCAGATCAGTTCCTGAAATAATACTTATTTTAGAAGTGTTCATTTATTTATCTCTTGTAGAGCTTGGATCTCATTATTTTGCTATAGGCTTAGGCTATGATGTTGATTGACCCTCTAGCTCACACGGATGGCATTATGGCAATATGGCTCCTTGTACATATGTTTTCTCCTTTTACTAATGTAAGTCCATCTATCAAAAATGCTAATTGAAATGTGGACAAAAACAAAATGAATAATACAACTCTAAATTCTATTAATTTGACGTTAATTTTGAAGTAAGAAATGTATGTAAGCCATGATAATCACAAGTGCACCTCCAACGGAAGCATGATGTCAATACAAAGGACATTGATAATATTTTGTGTTGCATTTGGTGTCCACATTCAGAGTACCATCACACCTATTTTGAAGATGGCCATAACATGGCATCAATTCTATGTATCTGTCTTGGATATATAGCCCCTGTTGCAGAATTCGCACTTCAAACGGTAGCCTCAAGAACTTTACATGATCCTTACCAGCACTAGCCCAATTGACGAGTTAAACAATAATAAAGCATGAAACTAGAGTTAGATCATGCATCTTACTTCTAGAACTTGTTGCTAGAGTTAAATCATCCCTCATGTGATCATCATACATATGAGGAAGTCTTTGGAATGGATTAATGGCGATAAGAATAATTCCAGAATAAGTCTGTGATAATGTCAGATTAGGAGATAATATTATGACAGAGTCGCCCATAGCTGCATTAATTCATTGCTTTCTCTCACCAACATGAACATTAAATAACTAATGATATAAACTAATGATAATATCAGATTAGGACATAAAAATCCTCTTCGCACCTGAATTACACCTCCTAATATGAAGAAACATTTTCCACCGGTAACAAAAATAAAGCAACATACATGATTTGATTACATATGTTATGGAGGAGCATTGAATTCAAGCAAAGCTGCAGGACCACCAGTTAGTTTAGACTTGTTTTCTCAAATTTCCAATCAAAACAGAAATTCCCAAACTTAAAAAAAAATTTGATAAAATTAAAGTCTAAAATTTGATCAGCAAAAAATTTTTTGGAACTAGGTTATGCAGGCAGAACTATGAACTTCAGTTTCCAAAAATGCATCACTTGATGCAATAACTAATGTCCAGTTGATGTAATATTTTTGCCGTCTTCTCATTACGGGTATGGATCTCAACTTCCTATTCGTTAATATTTGACACTTGTCCATCAACCCAAGCTTCATCTGGATCTTCAACCCAAACATGAGAACCTACAATGATATTCACTAGAGTGCCCTACATGTGAAATTCAAAAGATTATCAAAGCTTAAGAGCTCAAATTTGTACGGATGGAAAATAAAATTCTAATAGCAAAAAAAACATAGAAGATTCTGTATATGCAACCAAGTTCCATTTGGTATACTTTTAATCATTGATTCCAATCAGGGCTTGCATTTCAGTGCTAACCTAGTTGGGATGGATTTGCTTTGATAGGATGCTTATTCATCCATAAAACTTCTTTTTTGCTGATAATATATATATATATATATATCAATGATTTGCTTAAATGTAATTAATATGGGATTGCATTTACCACTATCCAAGAGGCCAACAATGACTTCTTTGCCATATCTGGCTTTGAACCAGAAGTCATCTTTCTTCAATTTGTTTGACTTCTCTCCCTCTTCTAAACCTACAAATTCCCATGATCTTATAGTCTGCAAAGAGTACTTTCCTGGCTTACTTCAAAACACAGACACCATTTCCTCCTATTCTGTCAAAAACCCATTCTTAACGATGAGAAAACATTCCTCACAGATAAAGAGTTTCAAAAAGAACCCATTAATTTATTAGATTTGTAACTATTGTTTACCAGATAGTTTTGATGCTTCATGGCGAGTGAGCACTGCTGTGAAGCCATTGATACTGTTCTTGTAATTGTAAAGAAGAGAAGACTTAGTTTCTTCCTCGGATTCTTTCATAAAGAACAGATAAGAATGGTGAGTTTCTTCAATCTCATTAAATGTTTTCTTTCCTCTGTGTTCTTCAAAGTACACTCTATAGACCTGTTTATAACCATACAAGTTACAACTTTTTGTTCTGTATCATACTTTTAATTTTACACTATATAGACCTGTTCCTCTTTCCTCCGTATCATACTTTTAATTTTATTTTTGTTCTTTCTGTATTCAATTGTTATATACATAGTTTCTAACTTAAACAACATCCATCCCCTATATATACATATAAAAATTAATTCAATTACATCACAAATTAACCATAAATCCTTAATATTTATTCTTAACTTCAAACTTTTTTAACTTAATTTTCATTTAATTATATTTTACAGATACATACATACATACATACATACATACATACATACATACACTGTAAAAAAAACACAATCTGAAATGGAGGTAAGGAGACAAAGCAATCGAACATTATAATGTGTAAACACACCTACAATAACCAAGGAATCAAACACATTTTACGGTATTGAATTAACGAAGAAGTCAAACACGTTTACAACAATAAAGCGAGCAATCGAGGGAGACGGAGCAGTCCAACAATGAAGCAATCGAGCAAAAGAGAGACGGTGACAATGGAAAGAAAATGGGCGACAGTTGCAAAATCAGTCCCATAAATTCAAAATATCAAAGAGAGAGAATGTCGTTGGTTGCGATCGGCGCTGTGAGAAAGGCAGACAAAGAAGAAGAAGAGGAGGAGGAGGAGGCACCGTTTGAGGAAATGCCGTCGGCGGCGCGATAAAGCGAGAGGAAGAGAGACAAAGAAGAAAAAGAAGAGGAGGAGGCGATGTGAGAGAGTGAGAGGGAGATGGAGATGGAGAGGGAGAGAGAGACATACCTCTGTGTTTGCTGTGCGCCGCTTGAGGGAGAGAATGAGATGAACAAAAATTATGTTGGGTGTTGCTTAGGTCTTATTTGTTTATTCACCAAAAGGGTCGGTCATGTCTTAAAAAAAAAAAAAGGGAAAAAATGCAAAACGACGTAGTTTCGACTTCTAATTTATTGGCGACGAAAATCTTTCGGTCGCCATAAGTATCATTCACCTCTTCCGCAACTATTTTATTTCTGTCACCAAAAATTACAAATCGACGACCAAACTTTTCGTCGCTATATATTAATTTGGTCGCGAAAATATTTTTGGCGCTCCCGCGCAGAAATTTAAGTTGGCGCCAAACCTTTTGGCGACAAAAAATCTCAACTCGTCACCAATAGTTTATTTTTTGGCGACCAACAAGTATATTGTTGCCGATTATATACAATTGGTGACTAATTTCAGTTTGGTTGCTAAAAAACGTTACCAAAAATGTTTTTTGTTGTAGTGAATGGGTGTTTTGGTAGTTCAGTGGAAGGCTGTTCTGCTACTCATTTTGGTGGTCTTTTTGTTGTGTTATTGTTTAATGTGGTGCTTTACTGTTTGTGTTGTGTTCTTTTTCCATTTGGTTGGTTTCTTACCAACTTTTGATGGTGTGCTAGCAAGTAATCGTGCATGCATCTCGGTGCCGATCTAGTTGGGATCGTTTTGTTTCGTTATGGCGCTCTTTGCACTCATCGTCCCTTTATTGATGTAATATTTTGATATTTATCAATAAAGGTTTCTTTCTTTTGCCAATAAAAAATAAATAAAAATAAATAAAAAAAGAAGAAACTATTGAATCATGACAATCTCCAGATAATGCTGGAACCAAGGAGAGCCAATTCCGTAAAGATACAAGCTCCTCTTTTTTCCCAAGGTCGTAGAGTTCTTCTAAAAACTCCATTGCCTTCAATGTCAGCAGCCCACCTACCCAAGAAAGAGTTAACTGATTCCATTATGTTAGAGGTGAGTTTGAACAATAGAGGGAAATCCTCTTTAACCTTATATCTTTCATGGATGCACCTATATTGATCTACCTACTAATGTTGCCACTTCAATATGATAAAATTTTCTACAAACCTTAAATGGTCTTGCATGTGAAGGAAAATAAATTTAGAAGAAATTGCTGGAGCAATGGGAAAAAAATTGTACTACAAATGAAATTTTTTGTTGGTGCAACTCTGACACAGTAAGAGTTGTACCAAGCACATGAATGTATTTGCACCATGTATACAGCAGAGTTACACCTCTTGAAAATGCAATTTTTTCCTCACTGCTCCACTGAAATGCAATTTCCCCATAAATATACACGATATTTGCTTATCTTATGATTAACACTTCCAGCACTGCCCATAATTTTTATCAATTCAATAAGCTTGCATAAGTTATGTATAATAGATTTTCCAAATATGACTGCAGCTTCGCCAACTTGTCTTTTGGATGTGTGAATTTTTAGAAAATCATTTGACGCCATTGATGGGCGAAATAAATAGTTTTCTCCACTGCTGTCTGTAACACAGCAACAACACCCTTGAAAATTCACCATTTTCTCCACAGAATTTTGTTTTGAGACTCGGTGAAGTTAGGTACACGAGTTAGGTTTTGTTAGGTACTAATTTCACTTGAAACTGATTAGTATAGAGGGAGGAACAACCGTTTTTCCAAACTACAACATAATCAAACTTGCTTTCTTGAAATAACTAATTTTCCAATTTTTGTAGGCTTTGTTAGCCTTCACGTCCTTGAAACAAATGTTTTTAACTCATTTATCTAACACAGGATTCCAAAATCATGAGTTTTTGACATTGTTTGATATCTCTTTTTATTTTTGAAACACAGACAACTTGCACAAGAAATTGCAAAATCCATTTTTGAAGTAGTGTAAGTGTTCAATGTTTTTCCTTGGTACTCATTTACTCATATGTACATCGAGTCATTTTAAGATGATTTCTAAAATTATTCATGATAACTCTATGAATGTAACAAATGTAATGAGTTACCTCATCATTTATTTGACGATATTTACTCCATGAAATTGTTTGCCTTTGAATTATGTAACTGGGATTGAACCGGAAGGGACAATGAGGCACGCGTAATGACTTGTTATTGGATGTAATTTGACAAGTGTTTAGGATGAGCCCTGGATGCAGTGGTATGCAAGAGTTTCTTGAACCGTAATATAGCACGGGAGGTATTTTAGCTCTTATCTATAATGGGGGTTATAAGGTTGGGTGTACATATGGCACATCAGGAAGAGTATTCCTAAAAGACTGTTCGCATGGGGCAAATCATTGATGTTGTGACTAGAGCGCGTAACTCTGTGCATAGACATCTTTGGTAGTTACTATGGTAACGTTTTTAAATATGACAAAGGGGGAGTCCAAATTTCTTGTTGTCAATATTTAATAGTTGGGTAAGACGGGCACTTCGCAGGGAGTAGCTTAGATTAATGTAGTTAAAGCCCATTAGGAAAATTGAAATTTAACAGTTTACTTGTAAAACAAAATGCTTCCGCAATGAACATGTTATTGTTATTGCTTTGAATATCTATCTATCCTGCACGCTTTACTTGTGATATGTTATCAGGTTGGGTATTTTTTTGTTTGTTGTATCCTATTAGACTTTGCAACTCGTGGAATTTCATGTTAGATTCCGAAAATGACGTTGAAGCCAAGGCTACGCCGGTGATGACCAGTCCCTCGAGCCATACTAATTTAGAGCCCAAGCAAACCTATCTCGTAGTATTTAGCTGTTCTTTTTTTTTTTTTTAATTAAGAATAAAAATAATAACAAAAAGCTATATATAAATTTTGTGTGTGCAAGTTCTAAGTTGTTTTCCGTATTCATGAGTTTCACTTTGTACAGGAAAGTACAAAGGACGCTGAGGTAATTGCAGTTTCAGAGAGATCAGGCAAGGGAGGCCTACGAGTGTATGAGTTTGAGTACAAAGTTGATAGCACCAGAGGAGGGCTAAAAAGGATATTTTCAGCTGCATTTGTGGCCTCTAAGAAGCTCTACATCCTTAATATTGCCCACTCTGACAAACCAGAGAGTCCTCTGGACATGAATAGAAGAAAGATACTGGAACAAGTTCTTCATTCCTTTGATGCTGCGCCTTCAACATGAATGAACATCACTGTTCATTCTTTTGTCACAATGATTTCATTCTTTACACTTCTGCTCTAGTGTTCAAAGCCAAAGGTACCACTCACTTATCCTATTTCTAATTTATCTCGACGGGCAGGGTATCAAATGGTTACCCTTTGTGCCTAGGTTAGGCTTCCCTTTGGAATATAGATGAATCCATTGTGTGTTTCTGTGTCATTTGATTTCATAAGTTTATTGGTTGGCATGGATTTTTAAGACATGATTGTGAACTATTCTTAGAAAGAAATATTCTACTTCCGTTTATGGGATTTGCCTATACAGGTCACTGATCTTGTGATGCTGGACTGCCGACAAAATGTAAAAGAAAAGAACGGCCACACCAAACGAAAATAAGAGAAACCCTTTCTGATTTCAATATCCAAAATTCAGTAACCATAGTCTGAGTGTTGCATAATTGCCTATTTATAGGCATCCAAGAGGATCCTAATTAAAAGTTATCAAAGATAAAACAATACAATGTTTAAATCCTAATTGATATCCTAATCTTCAATTCTTTCCTCATCCAACACTTTGTCTATCATCATCATTTTCTTGTCAACCATGATAGCAATTTATATGTATATTATTTATTTATTATTTTTTTTGTAAGTAGCCATGATGACATTGAATCTTAGCTTTGTGTGCCTGTGCGGGGCACGTGTGACCACACTATACATTGTGAGCAAATGGATAGAGACAACATAAGATTTATACTTAGCAGAACTTGTGTAGATCATGAGTTGTCATCCATTGAAGAATTATTATTTTTGGCATCTGATCTTACTGAATCATCTTCTTTCCAGGTGCTAATGCTTGAGCATGGTAAATGACATCGGTGTCTTTGCATGGTAAATAATGAATGAATGTTCGCATTCTTGTCAATGTTAGTTTCATTAGTACGATGAGGATCCTTCCTATGATTCTCTAACTTGATACGTTATTTTGTTCAATATTGAAATGGGAAATACCCAAATAAGTAGAGAGGGATTTGTATATCCGATGAAATTGTATTGGACAATTCAATTTGCTTTTTGTTTTTTGGCCCATCCAAAATACAGTTTTGGACGGCTATTTTAGTGTGTGCTTGATTTCCATCTATATGCTTGAAGTAGTCAGTTTAATCATTTTTTTGTCTGCTTTACCCTTTTCTTGGTGATTTTCTATTGAAAGACGCTTCTCATTTTATATTTGTTATGGGCGCTTGCAAGACATATTGCATGGGTTTTGTTTTTTTTTTTTTTAATGGAAACTAAGCTATTGACCTTTTTATTTGGATCTTTCAAGAGTTTGGTGGTGGTAGAATTTCCTGTGTTTTATATTTAAGCCATGATTGTGGGCGGCATGATATGCCTAATTGGTCAAATTTCAAAGAAATACTACTTGCTCAGCGTCTGGAAGTAGTAAGTGGCGTAATCAAAAATTCAGTGAAGAGGGCACAAATTACTGATAATATTAATTATATAATAAATAATAATAAGATATTACTAAACTTAAATATTAAGAGTTCATTTGGATAAATGTGAATTTTAAATTAAAGAATTTGAGATTAAATTTTATATAAATATTGGAGAATAACTATTTTATAGGTGGATTGGAAAATTAAAAAAGAAGATAAGTTGAGATAGAAATGATATATTTTAATAGAAAAATTTTATAAAACATACTGCAAAAAAAGAGTCTATCATATGTCGCAATTATAATCTTCGTAGTCTTTAATTATAACACATTATAATGTTATATATAATTTAGTTATAATTTTTTGTGATTGTTATTTTGGTTATGACTATATATCAAGTAATAGTTGATTATGATACATTATGATATTAATTAGGACCTATTGTAATTTTTTATTTTTTATGTTTATAATTGAAGATGTGTTGCTTGATTATAATTTATATAGTGGTTATTTTAGTTATGAATGGAAAGAAACATATGGAGGATAAACTCTACATATCAAATGTAACTAACAATCTAATAAATTACATATCTTCATTAAAATTAATTATGTTTGCATGTCTATAATGATAGATATCACCATTATATTGAAATTTTTATAGATAATAATAAGACTTATCATAGTCGTGTTCGGGCCAGCCACAGGCCGCGGGCTAATTTTACACTCCTATCAATGTGAATGTTAACATATCAATGTGAATATTCACATTGTCAACGGGCCAGGCCGGGCCCACTCCGACCCGGACCCGGGGCCCGGGCTTCGGGCTACCCACGGGTCATGGGCCAATTTTACACTCTTGTCAATGTTAATGTTAATGTTAATATATCAATGTGAATATTCATATTGCGAATGGGCCCGCCCCGGGCGATGGGCTGGTTTCGGGCCGCCCACGGGCCGTAGGCTAATTTTACACTCCTATCAATGTGAATGTTAACTTGTTAATGTGAATATTTATATTATCAACGGGCCGGGTCGGGCCTATTTTTTTGGCTTGTGGGCCGGCACAGCCCGACTCGAATTTTTCCGAGCACCCACGAGGATCGACATGAGCCGGACCCCTACACATTGACGATATAAACATTTATATTGACGGTGTGAACATTCACATTAAGGGTATTTTGGTAATTATGTCACCCATAGGACTTATTGAAACATAAGAAAATAATGTGAACTAAATGGAACATAAGTAGATGAAAATGGTATTCTGGTCTTCTTATCTCAAATTGGACCTAATAGAATAGTCAAAAAGAATATGAATTGGATGAAATAAAGCTCCTAGAAAATAGATTTATCAAAAGCTCCCTTGATATAATGTTGTCCTCGAGAATTGGAGTGTCACTAAAATTATATGAGAAGTTTAGATCTTGTAAACTAAAATGGTAAAGTAATTTATAAAGTATGCAAATGATTGGTTCACATTGCTCCTCAAATAGGAATACGATCTTTATATACATAGCTATATTCTTTATTTATTTTTGGGTAAATTACAAATAAATCCTCTAAGGTTTGCTTAACATACGAATTGCCCCCTGTGATTTGGAAAATTATAAATACTTCCCTGTCAGAATTTTTGATTTAACAGAATTAATTGAAAAAGTGAAATTTCTAACTGTTCACCCATACAATAATAAAATTATATGAATTATTAATTGAAATAAAATTTTAACATTATTAAAAACTATTAATCAACTTGATGATTTATTAATAAAGGGACTTATTTCTTATAAAATTAGAAACCTTAGGGAGCATAATGCAATTTCTAGAACCACATGAGGTAATTTGTAATTTAAATAAATCTCAGGAGGTGTGTTTGTAATTTACCCTATATTTTAAGAATTTATTATTTTGAAATTTCACAATATTCATTACCGAATCATTACTCTCTTGTTTTATTACCATGAATAAAACAGAGACAAATGATTTTTTTTATTTTATAAATTTGATATATTATTGGAGAAGTGACATAGACCAATCACATGCATATTTTACAAAGTACGTCGCAAATTAACTAAAGGAGATTTGAACACAATAAGGGTGCTTGTTTACAAATAAAATAAATGTGGTCGAACAATTTGTCATGTAATACCATATTAATTGTTGGAACATATATATACATTCATCACACTAGATCCCAACTCAAGATTTTAATCATATTGATCCGTGTCATGTTCCATTTGAAACGGTTTCTATCATTAGAATTCGATGTATGTAGCACCGCTTATTCTACGAACTCATGCCAATAGCCCCTCTATAATTTTCCCTCCATTTAGGGCCCTCATCAACTTTTGGCATATCAAATAATCTATCAATTTTCATATAATCAATGTTTTGCAGATCCACAATCTTTTCTTCTTAAACCAACAAAAAAACAAAATCAAGAAAGAAACAAGAAAAAGTCATATTACCGATCAATCTTTACATAAACACGTCTGTGAACCATGCATTGCATGTACGCATGCAATGCATGATTTGTAAGCGTGAAAATCCTTTCATTGTTACTCCATTCCAAATCCTCATTTGAATTCATTCATATCATACCCCTTAATTTCAATGGGCCATAGCATCGTCATTACTATATCCGTTGCTATTATTTCTCTCGTTGCCTTGCTCTTAACCTTCTTCATAGGTCATCACCACCCAGGCAAACCATCGGAACAACCAGCCAAATCACAATCAACCACCCACCGTGCCCCTGTATCCTTCCACCAAGCATGCAAAGCAACAAGACACCCACGAACATGTGAAGCCTCGTTGACTCCACCACCCAACCATGCCTCTTCAAAAACAGAAGATGACCCCATTAGAATGCTCCAATGTGCCACCCGGGTCTCCGCCACAAACCTCCACAGCGCCCAAATCATGATCATCAATATCATAGATAAGGCCCCAAACAATCAGAACCTCTCCAAGGTGGTGAAAACCTGCACAGAAGTGCTCCGTAATGCTGAGTACCGCATGTCATTGACGGTTGATGCTTTGCCACGTGGGGAGATAAAAAATGCAAGGGCTTGGATGAGTGCAGCCTTGGTTTACGAAAATGGGTGCATGTCTGGGTTGAATAAGACCACTAATGCATTTCCATGGGTTAACACAACGGTGTCATATTTGGAATCTCTAGTCAATTTAACCAGTGATGCACTGAGCATGATGGTATCCTATGATGTTTTTGGGAATGAGACCCAGTTATGGAACCCACCTCGAACCGAACGAGATGGGTTTTGGGAAGACATTGGCAGGTCAGATTCAAGTGGTGGGTTTGACTTGGGGTTTAAGGGTGGGTTTCCATCAGGTTTGATGACAAATGTGACAGTGTGCAAAGGCATGGCAAAAGGAGAAGTGTGTGACTATATGACAGTGCAGGAAGCAGTGAATGCGACACCTGATAATGAGGGTGCTCAAAGATTTGTGATTTGGATCAAGGAAGGAGTTTATAATGAGACAATTCGGGTTCCGTTACAGAAGAAGAATGTGGTATTTTTGGGTGATGGCATGGGTAAAACTATCATTACAGGGTCATTGAATGTGGGGCAACCTGGGATGACCACCTATGATTCAGCTACAGTTGGTAAAAGCCTAATCATTTTCATTTTTCTTTTTGTTTTCGTTAATTTTCTTTTGGGAAAGTTATATTTGTTGGAAAAATTAGTTTATAGGGCTTATTTTGGGTCAACTTTGAGTCCAAAATTAAGTGGCCCCGAACGTCTTTTGGGACAGGTCCAAAGATGTGAAGTATTCCTTACCGCGTGGCAAGTCAGTTTGTCAAAACTATTTATGAGTGAATGGGAACATGACGTCGTTTTCGGGTTCGTAGAATGGATATTTAAAGTTTTAATGTGGGTTTCCTTATAAAGCTTGTCCCACATTGAAACTTTAAGAAAGTTTTATTAAGTATATAAGCTCTAGCCTATAACACTTGGATTGGGTCCCAAGGGGCACCCCAAGTTTGTAGAAGGGAGGAGTTATGGACAAAGTAAACCTTAGCCCAAACCACCACACGCGCACCGCAGTCTATCCGGCCGGGCGTGGGTGTGGGTCGGGTCAGTTCTTGTATTAATTTTTTGGACAAAATTCTTTCTTTTGAATTTTTTCAAAAAAATTATTGCGGAAATTCTAATTTAAAATTTGAATTCAAATTTGTCCAAATAATTGTGCCCATTCCGATTATCTTTCAAACAGATTTTGAACCTAGACAGATTCAAACTGCTAGGCAGTTATCTGTCCGGAAAACTGCAAACAGATCTATTGCAGTTTGAAACCGAATCTTTTTGTTTAAGTATTGTACCTGTTCAGTTTGAATTCATACCTTTTAAGGTTTGAATTCATACCTGTTTGGCCCTATAAATACATACCATATTTTAGCATTTTACAGATCCGAAAATCAGTATGCAATCTTTCAGTTTGCTGTCCAGATTTTATTCTTTACATTTTAATCTTCATTCTAGTTTTAGAGATAATCTAAAGAGAGTATAAGAACACAAGGTTCTAGTTCGCTATACAAATTTTTGTGGAGTGCTACTACAAGTTTATGAAGATCATTGTATCTTGGGAGATAGACGCCACTCAACCGTAAGCACCATAGCAGGGCGAATCTGTCTTAAGGACAAAGTGTCACACACTCGACTTGGTCTTTTAATTATTTATTCGGTTCAACAAAAAAAATTCTGTAAGTTTTATTTTATTTTGTTTGAATTATTTCAATTTATTTTATTTACACAGAAGATTGTTCCATCAATATTTAAATGGAAATAATTCAAGATAATTATATTTCAATGGAGGTATAAATAAAGTTTTGTTCGATGCAAGTAAAAATTGTGACATGAGAAAGTTATCACTTGCTCCAACTTATGCTTTCATGAAAGTACAATTATTTTGAGTTAGTCTCATTTAAATGCACTTTCTTCTTCTTCTTTTTTTCTGTCCTTCACAAAATGCAAAACTCGAGTTTAATGGGGAAGGAATGTACCCAAAAAAAGATCATCAATATATGGACCCATGTTGGCATAAGAAACACATAACATAGAAGTTAATTGCGTGCCATTTGAATGATGATAATAGGCTTGCTTCATGTTTTGATGAGAATTTTCCAAAAATATGAAAGAACTCACTTAGAAAGGATAGAAATGTTTCCAATCAAGCAAAATGTCCTCCAATCAAGAAGCAATCATAGATATATGCTATGTAAGCACGCAATCTTATGGTAGCATGTTTGACATGAAAATATATCAAAGACACATGCATGATGCAAAAGAAGAAAGAAAACTTTCATAGTACTCCTCCACGTCGAGCCAAAACTAAAACGATTAGAAACACAAAGGAAAATGCATTGATCTTAGATGCATAAATCAACTAATGCAAGAAATCTCATAGAAATGCAACACATAGGCAAGGTTGCCACTAGAATATCATGTGAATCGTGTGTTAGATAATGTCTCAATGGGACCACATAATTAAATGTGGTGTTATCATTTATAAGAAGCCTACAATTTAAGTGATTCAATTTAGTTAATAGGCTTAAGGGTATATGTGTTATGGACCTAATGTGTAGATACTAGTTGTATAATTTCTATTTCTATGAGGAGCAGAAATAGAAATTAAAACATATTGGTTAAAGTTGGTTTTCATTACCTTTCAGTTTTAAAACCAATAATGATTAATTTATTGGTTTTCATTACCTTTCAATTATGAAAACCAATTACAACCTTTAAAAGGTTATGGTCCCTATTCCTTCCCAAGTAACTGTTTTTTTCCTAAATCCTCTCAAGGAAAAACATAAGGCACCAAATGGGAAAGGATTAGAAGGCAATAACATAATCAATAACAAAGAGTTCATTGATAATCACGCTTCCGTTTAACCGTTCATCAATGGATTCAGGTATGTCATTTTGTCTTGATTTCTTGATAATACACATGGTAAATGATCAAAAGTGTAAGGTTTATGTTCTGAAATTTATGTTGACAATTGGTATCAGAGCATGCATATCATGTGTCTTATCAGAATTGATATGCTTTATTCATTCTATTTAGTTTCCTGGAATCAGATTCTGAATTTTCTTATGGATGTAAATTCTGTTTTTTCATGTTTTAAAATATAAAAAAAAAAAAAATGTTGGTTTGGGGTTGTTTACCCCCTCAAAGGCCTTGTTAGGCCTTGTTTTAGACCATCCCTTTTGGCCCTTGTTCTTAGCTTTGCATGACCTTTCTACCACTGAAATCTAGAGAATTTTTAGTAGTGGAAAGGTGGTTTTGAGGTCTTAAATAGGAGAGGGCCATCCCCTCTCCTTGTTGTCTTGTATGCTTGCAGAAATGGCTTATGTTGGTACCATGTTTGTTAAGCTTGTCTTAGCTTCATTTGAACAAGTATTTGGTGTTACCTTGCCATGCTTTACCTCTGTCTATGGCATCTTGCATGTACCATACACTTGTAGTGTATATCACACACACTAGCATTATATGCTTCATGTTTGAGCATGTCTTTCTAGCCTATGTTGTGTCTATTTTAGCATGTTTTGGGTGATATTTTGCCGTATCATACCTCTGTTTAGGTTTGGTTTGGTTAGCCTTTGCATGCTCCTTGCACTTGTAGTGCATTTCCATGATTTGGCCTAACATGCATCATGTTGTAA